ATTCTCTTTTTATTGACTTTATTTTTATTCAATTTTAAATCACTACAATGTCTGAAACATTCAATATTAAATAATTATAATACAATTTCAATATCCACTTTTCTGTATGTTCGAATCAATCGTCTTCTTCAAATAACTCTATGCTAGTCCACTAGACTCAATTCCTAATGGATAAAATTCGAAGAAATTTCAATCAACCACTTTTTATTGGGTTTGAATCTTATTTCTCCGTCAAATCTCTTTCCAGCAGCACTGAGGGCATGAACTAAACAAAAAAACACTGCAACTTTTGCTCCTTTCTCAATTGACTTCATTTGATGAAACTTCAGTTTTTAATAGTGTGGCGTTCTTGTTCTTGATCACCTTGAAATAAAAAATTTGCAATATTGAAAGACTTTTCTTCTTTTTTTTATTCTTTACACACCGCAACAACATTTAACTTATCATTTTTTACTGAATTTTAAATGTTTCGTCAAATGGTTCAAGTGTAAAAAAACCCATTTGCTTTGAATCAACATAAAGATTTTGATCAATTGTAAATTTTATGAAAATGATCGCGATAAACCACCATCCTTATTCTTACAAGAAAAATTACTAAATGACCAACTTCTTCAGCTATATGTTTTTTAGTGCTGCAAGCGGTAGAAATATACTCTTTAATAATTTTCTAACTTTATAATCTTTAAGTAAAAACAAATTTCTAGTGATTAATCTATTGAACTTTAGTCTATTAACTGAAAAAGAAAAGTACTACATTAAACAGCCATAACATATTTCAATAATTCTAGACTAGATGAATGAAAAAGACAACAACAATAACACCATTAACGTCAACTAAAACGCTGAAAAAAATTAAAATCGATAGTCAATATAAACATAAAAGTTCAAAAAAATTCTAACCATTATTCAAAGAAAAACACAATAAAAGATACGAAATCAAGAATATGAATACAATGTATATCAATTTTAGACAAATTTAATCAAGAACAATCAAATTTTCATAAAAAATCAAAATCTACTAAATTAAAATGCAACTAAAAATAGTAAAATGGAAATAAATTGTTCGGAAAATATAAATGAACTTACCTGAGCACAAGAGGATGAATGTTTTGACTTGGGAAGAAGTTCAAAGAATTTTTTTTTAACTATTTAAGATAATAAAATAATAGGGAAGAAGAAAGGTTGAAGAGAGAGAGAAATTGTTAAATAATTAACTGAATTTAAAAAAGGAAAATATTTAATAAAAAATTAAAGGTCCTTTGTTGTATTTTTATAAACTTGTATTTATCCTCCAAGTTCTAAAAGTGATAAAAAGGTCCTCGACCCCACAACCCAAACAAACTTTTTCACTTTTTTTAAACCTAACTCTAATAATTAAATAAAAAAGAAATTAAGTGGGTATTGGGCAAATTAAGTTTTGGGAGTGTCCCCCATTTCAAATAATTTCTAGAAAGTAATTGCGCGGAATTAATACATCAAAATTATTCATTTGCATCAGAGTCAAAGTAAAAAATTGTTCTAAATTAATTTGATAGTGAACATTTTATCTCTTAAAGTGAAAAGTTTTGGTGTGTATTCTTATTTAGTAGAGCTCTAATATCGGTACCACGTCTTAAACATGATAATTTTATGTAAAATTATTGTTGGAAACCTAATTTTATCTTATTTTACTGTGGCTTTCATACGACGAAGGAAAGAAGTGAACGGTGAATGGATACAGTAACTCAAATACACTGATGGGGACCAAACCAATATAGCTTAATCTTTAATTTTATATATCCATTAACTTAACGAAATAAACAAATAAGATTTCCTTAACATTACTATCATATTAAAGAGTTATTTTTCTCAATTAAAAAAATTGCACTAAAAGTTTGTCATTGTCAACTTGTACGTCAAAATCCATATACTAAGTAATCAATCAAAAATTTAAAGGATTTCCGACATCAAATGTTGTTATCAAACATTATTCCTCTTATCCTAATAAATCAAACTCTTCTTGTTTCATTTCATGAAAAATATTTTTGTAAAGATATCTTTTCTTTCTTTCTAAAAATGGAATATTAAATAACTATTTGTTCCCTATTGTTCAAGTTATTATGTAACTGACAACTCTAAAATTTAGTAGGTGACCTTGCTAGAAATTATAACTCCAAAGCACAAGAAGCAAAATTTTCTTTGCTTAATTTTCTGCTATATATACCTCATCAAAGTTGTTGCACATAGGAACATAGCAAATAATTTTTCGAATTCAGTGCAAAAATGGGTAATAATGGACAAGTGTCATTATTTCTCATTTATGTCTTGCTCATACAACTATTTGGTTTCTCTTCGTCCTTATTTCATTTGTACGCCAAAGATCAAGAACTTGATCTTCTCCAGTTTAAGAACATGTTTAACATAACTCCTTATGTTTCTTATTGTTTCTACAAAACAACATAGAATAATATTGAGTCATATCCAAAGATAATTAGATGGAATACAAGCACTGATTTTTGCTCATGGGCTGGATTTATTGTGATTAGAGTACGGGAAAAAATGATTGATCTTGACCTTTGTTGACGCCAACTTCAAGGTAAGTTTAATCCCAACAGTAGTCTTTTTCAACTCTCTACTCTCAAAAGGCATGACTTGTTTCATATTGATTTCGATAGGTTCGTACATTACACCTGAACTTTATGATCTTTCTAGGTTGACATATCTTTATCTAACTAACTCAAATATTTCAAGTTTGATCCCTTTTAAAATCTCTCACCTTTCATAATTAGAAGTTCTACGAATCTCGAGAAACAATGCACATAATCAAGGACTTCACCTAGGGCCTTGCAATTTTAAACTACTAGTTAAGAACATAACACAATTGAGAGAACCTGACCTTTTCTTAGTTGACATTTCTTCCACCATTCCTCTAAATTTTTCTTCATCTTTATTAAATCTAAAACTTTCAGAGACACAATTATTTGGCATACTTCCCGAAAAAATTAACCACCATTCAAACTTGAAATATCTTTATTTATCATCCAAATTACAGCTCACAGTATGGTTTCCCACAATCAAAGATAATAACAGTGAAACTCTCATGGAGTTATATGTAAATGGAGTGAGTTTTATTGAGAGGATATCTAAATCATTTAGCTATTTAACTTAATTACGTCAATTGTACTTGAGATCATGTAATCTCTTAGGCTTCATTCCTCGACCTCTATGAAATATCACAAGCATAGGGGATTTTATCCTTGATAATAACAATTAGATGGACCAATTTCCCTGTTCACATTAAGAATATCATAGCCATATCGCTTCAAACTAACAGCTTTATGGGCTTTTCCTGTAATGGTAGCTGGAGTCCACAACTTGAAACCTTAAATATGTTGCTCAATTCCCTAACTGGTCCAATTCCTTCCAATGTAAGTGGTCTTAAGCCTGCAAGTAGTAGTGGTCTTGAGCTTTACAAATGATCTTTCATGGTTGCTTGCAATTGACGATGTTTTCAAAGTTGAAGACAATTCTTGAGTAATATATAACTATATATTGCATGTTGTTGGAGGAAGGTGTCTTCACCATAATGCCTAGTATGTGATCTTGAGCCTGCAAGTAGTAAAGGGAAAGAAAAACATTTGCACTTGATTTGAAATTTTCATGTAAATGTCCTTATTGGAAATATAAATTGTGAGGTAAAAATCATATACTTTCAACTCTAAGTAACCTCGTGAGATGGGAAAAAGTAGACAGGATTGCTTGAAGTATATGATTTTCAATTGATAATGATACTTCTAAAATGAACGCTGATCAGAACAAATCGCAAAAGGAATTGAAACAGTTTTAGTTTTAAAATCAAGTGATCTCAAACGGAAAAATATGATGAGATATGCACATAAATCAAATTTTGTAAATACTTCTATAGTAAAGAAAAGATGAACAACTATTTAGGAAAATAAATAAAGTTGTGAATCACTCAACTAAATAAAAATTACAAGGAAGAAATGAAGTTAAGACAGGTCAAAATATGAAATCTTATGTATAACCTGCATACTAAATTAATAATACTCATAATTTGAACCCAAGCAGATCACAATAGAAGCAACAATCAGCAACTTTGAACATAAAATTCCAACCTAAATATGCTTTCTAATAATCAACACATTGCAAGAAAAAATTGTACACAACGAAATATTAAGATGATCGAAGTTTAACAAATTGATTCCCCATAATTATAAAACAATAGAAAAATATTTGAAATTGTACCCATAAAATTAATTGGGAAAACTTATCTGGACAGATCTGTTAAGATCCGTCTCAAAGTCTTCAAAATCTCTGCCGGAGTGCGTTGTTCGTCCTCGCCGAAAAAAGAAGAGGGGCTGTCTTTGCTTCTGCCTGTTGTTTGTTCTCATCAATAAAGATGGAAAAAAAGAGGTGAATGGGGATTCTCTACTTGGAGGCATCGATCGCTATTATTGCGCTGCCTCACTACTGTTGCTGCTTTGCCGCTGCGGTTGTTTCTTTGGTAATGGAGTAGCTGGTGGCAACTGCTTGCTTCATTATTGCTGTTGTGTATGCAATTGTTCTCGCTGGTGGAGGAGGAGAAGAGGAAAGACGAACGAAGGGAAGAGGAAGGATTGAGGTAGCGACTCGAGAGAGGAAGAGAGTGGTGGCACAGAAGATTGCTACACGCTATCTCGCAACCGCGGAGGCTGCATGTGCGGTGCTTCTCTTAGGGAGAGAAAGAGAAATAATCAAGGAGTTCTAGGGTTAAGTCTCTTTAGATAGTTTAAAATAAGAAGTAATAGGTTGCTTAATGTGGACCTCTTATTTGAATAGAATGAACGGGCACGATTAGATCTTTACTTTGATCAAGATAACAGATGGACAAGATTAAGAGAGTTTCTAAAAAAGATGAAATAAGAATGTGCCTAAAAAAATATTACATAAAAGTAATTTTATAAGGGAGTTAACAACGGATTATAACTTCGTTGCTATCAAATAAATAAGTTTATTTCAAATAAATTTGAACGAGGAATTTTTATGTCACTAAATAATTTAATTTTATAAAATTATATTTAAAAGTCTAGCGACCTTTTCTCCATCACTAGTTCCGTCGCTAAACATTAATTAAATTTTTCAAAGCTAATTTGTTGTTAAATCCATAAGAAATGTTTGGGCGCCAAAACTTCGCGCTAATATTTAGCGACAATAAATATTCCATTGAAAATCAGTCACTATATCATACATAAAAAAATTTGTTCTTCTAGCATAAAAAATGTATTTTCGTTGCGAATCCATTGTTATTTAGTGATGGAATATAACTTGTTGCTAAAATCCGTTGCTAAACGAATTTTCTTAGAAGTGCAAGTCTAAGTGGGTAGAGCTATTCCTCATCATTAATGTTTTCCCAAATTGAGTAGTTGAGTGAGAGAATAAGTAAGGAGCAAAATTCACAGTTAACAGGCAAAGGATAAATATCTATTTGGGTCAGGTGGATAACGTTTATGAAGTTGCTGAGGTCTATTATCTTAATGAAGTATGAGTAATCAAGGATCCTGCGTCGTGCTGCTGCCATGACCCAAAAGTATCCCCTAGAAGTTAGGAGGAACTCTTGTTTTGTGGATGGGCGTACTCGATCTAGTGGGGTCTTGTACAAGCTTTTCAACTAGAACTTATTACATATGACATGAAAAGTAGTACGGAATTAAAATTTTTCAAGAATAAACTAATAAAAAGGAAATCTTTCATAAATACTTAAGAAATCTTATAGTCACAAGCCAAACATACGACACGACATAAAATATCTTAGGGACACGACCCTTTACATTGAAATAAAATACATAATAAGTTTTTTAATAAAACTATGAAAAGGCTATGCCCTCGAATACATGAGGACATACTTCAAAAACCTTACAGTAAACTAACTTCACCTTTATAATGTACTCCTTAAGCCGTTACAATAAATACATTTGAACATTTACAATGAATCATTTAAAGCATTCACACTAAATTCAACTTGAGCAATTACAATGAACTATCCTACAATAAATGAGTGAACATCCAAGGCCAAGCAAAAGAGAAAGTGAAATCTAAGGTAAGATACGAAGGAAGTATGCATATGCTTCCTCCAATGCACACCAAAGAAACCTCAAGACTACCCCTTTCGACTTACTCAACTCGGGAGAAACAAGCCCCTCAATCAATGGCAAGACATTAAAAGACACCCAACAAACCACCAAAGTCTTCCCTTTCTGAATGCCTACTTAGGGCAATGAGTAAATATCATCCCATACCACGACCTACCATAAGTAGTACATTCTTTTAGAAGGTTTGGCACCAAGTCTTCCCTTTCGAAAGGTCCTACCTAGTGCAACGAGTAAAAAGAGTCACATACCACCACCTACCCTAAGTAGTACGTTCTTTTAGAATACTTAGTTGAATCAATTCTTTGTGAGGGATTAGCTTAACCGACATAGACTATAATATCTACACATGAAATCCCGATATTTACCCCTATCGGATGAGGGATCCTTACTTGCCTAGAGTAAGGTCATGCTTCTTAACTTTTGCATGGATTTCACAATAGCTACACCTATGTGGACACATTGTTAAGGGATAAGGAGATTGATACTAAGTAACTCATTCTCTACTAACGAGGAGTACTTATCTCAAGAGGTACTTTGGAAATACAACATCTCAACTCACGAAATGTAATCCACCTCTCCTTCATATCCTCTATGGGTTCTAGGCTCCCTACGGATTTCTCAACAATCAAACCTATAGGTTAAGGATAACTAGTGAACACCACATCTCAACTCACGAAGGGTATTCATTATCCAACCTATCTTGGAAAGCTCATGAGAAATAATGGGTTTGCTACTCGACACATCATCTCAACTCACGAAGAGTGTCCACCCCCAATACTCCCTTTTTCTTTATTTAGCCTCATACATTCTTTTAAGTGTGAGTGCCCGTGTACATCTGAGCACACCTTGTACATAAACATCAATTGATTGTTATTAACTTCTATGCATGCTTTAGACCTTCATTCATCAATTCACACACCTTATATACTTCATATATTCATGTACTTCACTTAGACATAATATAAGTCAAATATGCTATTCAACTTCACAAAACACAAGACAAGACTCATATTCAATATTAATCTATTTCATCTATTAGACCTTCAAAACAACATCCACAATACATACTAAATAACATCAAATTCATGAAGTAAACACCGCCATCAAGAAGGTGGACCATACCACTCAAAAGTAATTGTAATGAAAACTATTCATTGTAAGCAAACTTGCAATAAACAAAGACATCACAATCTATAAAAAAAATTTATCAACATTTAGTTAATATAATATCCCTATGCTGTAGCTAAATCATCATAATAATACAAGAAAACACAAGTTCATACCTTGCCTAAACATGCTGACATAACATATTTTCCTTAAGATAGAAGTTGAAATATGCATAAACATAAGATCAATAGGTTTTTAACATTAAAATCATCAATTAATACTATAATAAACACATTTAAAATATTAGAACACTTTTACAAGAAGACCCATACTAAAAATCAAAGATAGAAAAATTTTGAGTTTGAAAACCCTTTCGGAAATCTTTTTCAAATGACTCCTTGAATGGAATGGGTTCAAGGATGGATACAATACCTCAAATAGAAAGAAACCCACTAATTTTCGTAAAGACATACGTCCAAAGCATCCCTTGTTTCCCTCTTTGAGTCTTAGCTTCAATGGTGACTTTGGGAGAGTTTTTTTTAGAGAGGGAGTTTGAATATTTAAAGTGAGGGGTCTTGTCTAGGTATAGGGTTTAAAACTAATTTAATATAACCTAAAAACACTAAAATTATCCACCTAGGGTCTGAAATTACTTGGTGTGTATTTACATAAAACACCCCAAGTTGGCAGCAACTTCACAAACTTGGCAGGCCCTTAAAGACGAGACCTTCACAAACGGACCGTCAGTGCATCAATGGACCGTTTGTAGGGTATCGTGATTTGGGAATTAGCTCAAAATGGAATATATAGACCATGAACATCTTTTCCAATCGATTCCCTAGGTTTACGTACCATTAATTGACGAACTAACCGTACTTAGGGTCGTCGATGGCCACTACTTTTTTGAAGTTTTGCCCAAGTTTTGGGCTTTTCATCTAGGGCCCCTTGTGGGTTCTAAGTGGGGTCTTTCCTGAACGTTAAACCAATAAACTAATCCTTCTAGGTCTTAGGAACATCCCACCTTAGTTTCAAGAAAAACGACCACATAAAACTCACTCAAACACCTCAAGACACACAAGCGCTATCTAAGGCAAACCTTTCAAATGTCATGGACGTTCTTGGGCATTTGACATCAAAACTTAACCAAAATTCACATAGTGCCTCCGAACACAGAAGTAACTCATTTAAAATTCAAATTAACTCAAGAAACAATCACGAGGATCTAGTTCACCTGAGTTCATTTTGGGGTGTTACAGTCGCGATGTTAAATCAAGCGCTTATTGGGAAAAAACCAGGTGTATCCCTTATCCAACCATATGTCTTGTTTTCCTTGTATCAATAGTCGTAGTTTTGTTTCAGTTTTTCACATTATTTCACCTTTTTCTTATGTATTAGTGTTGACTAGAGATTAGTACAGGTTCCATGTCACAATAGTGTCTAGATGAACAAAAAAAGAATGGACTAATGGGTGATACATGTGGAAGGAGCAACAACAAAAATCTATAAAAATTGGTCAGGTGCAGAGGTCTCTAACCACATCAATGGACTGTTGTTCCACCGACGAACCATCAATGGTTTCTGTAGATCCCACATAAATTCCCAAGTTTTTCTAATCCCAAAAGTGAATAACGGTACCATTCGATGGTCCATCTATTGACCTACGGACCAACGATGAGGTTTTGTAGGTCCAAGTTGTCCTTGATCCAAACCCGACCAGACTGGTAATATTAAAAGACACAACGGTTAAAATTCATTCCTTCTTTCAATTCCTATTAAAATTCCCTTTGATAAGCGTTTCCTTCCATTATTTTTTTCCTATTTTATCCAATAAAAACCACTCCAAATCAAAAATCAGTAACCCATTAGAACTATTCAATTCGCAAACAATCTCTCCTCCAAATTTATTGTTTATCCATTTTCTTTGGCCATTGATCGAGTTTTGGCGCATAGTATACTCCTTTAAAGTTTCCAAGTTTACATAACCACACCACTACTACTAAAGGTATGTTTATCCCTTAACTTTTCTCGTTCATAGTTGTTTACAAAAATCGGGAAGTGGGTCTTGACCTTAGGACTACATTAGTAGAATTTGCATGCTAAAATGCATAGTTATGTCCCTTGGAATGATAAAATGTTGTTGTGTAGCATGTTTGATTTTCTATGATGTTGAGTTTCTCTGTTTATGAAAGTTACGACTTAGGGTTCCTTAATTTGACCAAATCGTGTGAACAATTCAATGAATTGCAACCTTAGAAATGACGAGCTATTATTGATTATGTTAAAAGGCTTGTTCTAACTTGTTTGTTTAAAAATGACTAACTAAAGGAACTAAGAGTTGGAACTTGCAAAAATGCCTGAAACCTGTATTAGGCCATAAGTACGAGACCCCATTTACGGACCATCAATTGATCGATGGGGTCCATCAATTTATTCACTCTAAAAATCTATTACTGTAAAATGACGGAAATGGACTCAATCGACAGA